TCAAGAATGAACCAAGCACAGAGACATACAAGAAATAATCAGTAGTAACTGGGAACCTGAATACCTTCTGAAGAAATATATAGATCAAAAATGGTTCACATGGATAATAGAACTCTTTACAACAGATGAAATCCAAGCAATCTTCAACAAATGTAACAACAAATCAGCAACTGAGTCATCTAATATCCCTTATATAGCCTTTAAGCACTTATACAAAGACACTATCTAAAACATTACAGTTTTCTTCAATATTATTCTCTCTAGAGAAGAGATCTACATGAAATGGAAGAAAGGTATCATATACCTCATTCCCAAGCCTAAAGACTGGAAACATGACATCAATATCATCTGACCTATTACTCTGCTTAAATTTATTAAAAAGATCTTTACAAAAGCACTCACCAATAGACTCACAAAAGTCTTATCTGAACATAAGATCCTCACTAAACAAAACTGGGCTGCACTTTCTCACCAGAGCACCAGAGAATTAATTAGCATAATTAACAATATTCTGGAAGATGCAAAAGAATTCAATAGCCCCTATTACATGCTCTTTCAAGATATGAGCAAAGTATACAATACAGTCAACATTGAGTACCTCACCATAGCCTTACAAAAAATCAAAGTATCTAAAAAACTAATTAACATCATCTGAAACTGCTTTTCATACAGAGAAAATAAAGTCATAATCTTCTTCAGCAATACTGAACCATACCAAGTACAAGAAGGAATAGATCAAGGAGATACTATCTCCCCGATCCTATGGTGAATTTACTATGACCTACTCATCAGCAGAATAGACAGAATATCCGAATACACTTATGAATATATAGACAAGACACAAATAGTCTAATACTATCCAAGATCAATATATCTATAGTTGCCTACATGGATAATACTACCTTCATTATACAAGACAGAACTAGACTTACAGATATAATCAATATCGGCAACTCCTTTTACTAGCTGAATGACATAACAGTAAATCCACACAAATCTGAACTACTAGTTATCAACCATAAACTAGACAACATCAGAATTGGCAACTATCTAATCAAATTGACAAACAATTTCAGTGCAATCAGAGTACTAGGAGCTTGACACGAACCTAAAAAAGGGAAAAAAACATCAGAGAAACCTGATCTGGAAGAAAACTAACTCCATTTGCAGCATAACTAAAAAAAAGTTGAGTACTGATAAGATGTATAAATATATTATTAATAATATTCTCTTTTCAACAATTGAATATTTGATCTATAATTTAGTTCTTTTATTATCTAAACTGGAAAAAATTGACAAAAGAATCAGATGTAATATGAAGTACAAAGCGAGTCTAGCATAATCAGTACCAGATTCTATAATGTACCTCAAAATCCACTATGCAGTTTATAGAATAGTAACAAGATAACTCCAAAAGCATGCAAGTGATCTTAAAGACCTCCTCAATAGCTCATCTACAGCTGGACATATATATCGAAACAGAATACAAAACCTTCAATAGCATGCCTGGCAAAAAAACAGTATTCCGGAATATTGCCTCACTATCTTCAAAAAAGGTTATAACTTCTATTATAATGTCCTTTATAACTTAGAACTAAATAGGATAACAGTCATACTCTATGAGAAGCCAGAAAATCAAGAAGATCTCTATTATATTAGTCAAATTATGGATCAGCAATGGTACTCTGAACATAGAATATTATTGCAATAGTATAGGATCAAATATATTGAACAAATAATCAGTATATACAAAACACGACTACTACTTTGGTACCAGACTGGTGGCCTATATAATAAATTCATCAAAAGAAAAGAGCCATCCTAGTTTTGTGAGCTCACAATAACTGTAAACAATTTCCTCTAAAACTCAAACAGCTTCAACAATTTTAATACCTTTGCTTAAATTGAATTAGCAGCTACTAGTATAAGTACTTCTGCATAGTACACTACTATTTGCAACAACAAGATTATTATTGGGAAAAGAATCAACAATTATATAACACATATCAAAATAAAACACTACTGATATTCTAACAACTCACCACTATCTATCTGCATAGGATGTGAGAACACAAATATAACTGACAGAAGGAACAACAAATACTTTATTAAAGTGGCTAATACAAATTTAGCAAAAATACCAGTAGTCTCCACTATCTGCTCTTTATCATCAAACAATGAGATAACAAGTCTATAAACACAAATATCTTCCAGTAGTATAACCAGATGGTAGACTTATCCAAACCAACTTATAGAAGTGATAGAAATAGACCCATTGCCAAAGCATATCCTCCAGCTTAACATGTTTATTAAACTAATAAAAGAAACTTTCAATCAAATCAAAGAAATTAGTAACAACTTCTCTCTCACACCTAGTATTAATATTTACTGTGATGAAGCATATAATTCGACACTAGACCCCAACTATATTGACATAAGAATTATCCTATAAGATGAGAACAATACAACACTGGAAGTCTCACTATGAATCAAAATAAAGGATTCTAGCAACCTGGCAGAGCTTCTCCTCAAATATAACACATTTTGTTACATTTTCTCTGACTCAATCACTGCCATCAATGAGATCCAGCTAGTAACCAGCTGTAGTACTAAAAAGTACAAATACTTCAAAATCATCAATTACATTCTCTATACAATCAGATAAAGATGGCTTAACATCACATGGCACACAGTAATGATAGAAGATATCCTAACTAATTACAAACAGGCAGACCAACTAGTTAAAAAATGTCTTAAAGAGCATAATGTAACATATATTATTATACTAACAGAATGTTTTCACAACACAAACTTGCCAATATACAAAATCTACAATATCAAAATTATATAAAGCATAAGAAAAACTATAGATACTATATAACAAATCAAACAGACAATGGTATGGAATACATTAAATCATAATTCAGACTTAACAATTGATTATAGAGAACAGATAAATTGAAAAAACTCAATTCGAAATCTCCACCCATCCAATATCAACTCTTCATTCTGCAATTCTTGGGACCAAAGACTGTATAAATACTCATTCAAACTTTGAAACAAACAACTCTTTAAAATGATGACACTATACAAGCGTTATCCAAGCACATATACTATAAGCAAATACTTTAGGTATCAAGAAATAAAGAATCAAAACTATTCCTTTCAATGCAAAGCATATAGGCTAGATGTCAAAGACCTCATTATCAATACAATCAATAGAGAAATCTCTACAAAAATAGAAAGACCCTCAATGGCAAACATCAAAGCTGAAGTAATTAAAAATGTAAACAAATACAATACCTGAGACATTATCATAAGAGACAGAATTACCAAGGATATTACTCTATTAATCACTTTATATCTAAAAAGAAACAAGCTAGAACAGACAATTCAGGATATAATTAGATGTATTCGATTCATTATCTTCAATATATGGCAAGACAGATGTTTCTATTTTTCTAAATAGAAACTAAATAATAAAATCAACTGTACCATATCAGAAAAGAAAAAATATAAAGGAAAAAAAGTCCAATAACAGTATACTCAGAAAACAGTAATAAAAACAAATATAAGTTTGGTTGCTAAAATCATCAATATAAACATATCCATTTTCGATATATACTCAAGATATACTAATGGAGTTCAGACACATTAGTTTCTCTATAAGAGACAATAAGCTATAGAAGTGTTTTTTTTCTAACAAACTGGCTTTCTTAAAAGGTAAATAGGAGAAATACATAGAGAAAATAGATTACAAAATTGCTTTATAATTTAAAGTAATATATATTATTTTATACCTAATAAAGTGAACTTGTTATGGTGCACAAAAAAAAAAAAAATAAGCAAAATTCCTTTGAAAATTATGAAAATAAAAGCATTAAGAGGATAAAACAGTTGATAAAAAGAAAAATAAGTTTTTTTACTATAATAAATCTCTATAAATTTACTTTAAAGGTATAAAAAATCATTAAATATTTCACAATTAGTTCTTTTTTTTAAATACTTTTTTACTAATAATGTTAAAAGTATTACATAACTTTTTTTTAATTATTAGAGTCAAGTTTTTAATAAAAAAAAAATTTATAAATAAGAAGAGAAATAAATGTATTGGTGACTCTTAAAGATATTTTTCAAGCTAGTTTAAGAATAGTGATAAAATTTTATTAATTAAAAAGTTTAAAAACTTTTAATAAATATTTTTTTATATGATTAGAAAATTAGTAGAAAGAGTTTTATTAAGCTAATTATATTATACTTATCTTAATTTGCATTGTTTCTTATGTTAATTATTATATTTCTTGTGAATTATTGATACTAAGATAAATTTTTGTTTGCTTGCTTATATCTTTTTTATTTTTTCTAAAAAATTATTAAAAAAAAATCCGTTAAAAGATTTTTTAAAAAAAATAATAATAATAATTAAAAGCTTGACAGAAAAAAATAATAACCGCAATATAATAAAGATAACAAAGATATACTGTAAATCTCATTGTGATTTATTTTACAGTATATTTTTAAAGTTATAAAAAACAAATAGCTAGAAAAAATATTATTATTTATAAAAAATGAATTAAACGCAATTCTGGAAACTAAATTAATAAATATTATTAAATCTATATATAAAAAATATAAAAATATAATAAAGAATAGAAGTAATTATATTAATTATTAAAAAAACAATTTTTTTTTTAACATTGTTAACTTGATTTAAATATTCCTTCTTCTAAGCTTGTTAATCAATTTTATATAATAATTATAAGAATATTTACTTCTGATAAGAAAAGAAATGCTAGAACGTTTTATTCCTTGCCTTTTGATTTTTTATTTGTTTTTAACTGAGGTTTAGCTTACCTTTCTTAAATTTAAAAAAACAAGCACTCATTCTTCTTTACCATTTTTGATACTGCACAATGTCTTGTTTGCTGATTTACAAATAACAAATAGGTATAATATCCTAATGTAATATTCATCTAATATATCAAGCTCGGTGATATGAGATGAAGGTAAACCAGAATTCATACGAAAACACGATGTAAGCACGGGGATAAGATTTTATACAGTAGATCCATTGCCTGCACGTGCCAAATTTCCATAATTCAGTTCGTTCTTCTACGCTTTCCAAGTCGTCATCAAGAGGTATCGGCTCCTTCATCTCCGTAGAGACTTTGATGGTACACAGTTGCCAGCTTAATTCCTTCATTGCTTGCTTATAGTATTTTCTTATCACACGCCTTGTAGGTGCGATAACGAAGTGTAACCCCCCCCGTTTTAATATCCTCCGGAAGCTGCAGTTTCAATTGATTGAGTGTAAAACCAAGTCAATCCTCCTGAAAGAGGTGTTTTTTTACGGAAGAAAGTGACAGGAAACCTCCAGCTTACTGAGTCTTTTACTGGGGATATCGTGGAGTGTCTCCAAAGCGAAACTCCTTTGCATGTTTAGTGTTTTATATACCCACCATCTAAGTTTTCGAGCCTAGGGTCTCCTCTGTAATGCTTCTGAAGCATAACGTCAGGACTCACGTAAAACTCGTTGCACATATCAGCTTTTCCGTTGTAATAGCCGTGAAATTAGGTAAAAATTTTTTTTTAACTTTTCTAAAATATTATTGGTCGATAAAAAAAGAAATACGCAGATATCGGTATGCTGTCTATTATCTCATACCTCTACCTGTTATTTTTAGTTAATTATGTCCAACCTTTACATGGGTTTCGATTTGTCGACTCAACAGCTAAAATTGACGGTTATTGACAATAATAATAAAATAGTATATGAAGATTCGACATGTTTTGACAAAGAGTTATCACGTTATGGGTAAAATTCTATTATCGTACCGCATAAAGAATCAATAAGATAACTATTCTCACTTCATGCCAAACAGAATCCAAAATGGCGTAATAACCAATGGGAACTCTGTCACTTGCCCAGTTTTGATGTGGGTTGAATCCGTTGACCTATTACTTCAAAAATTAAGATCGCAAGGCTTTCCCTTTGATCGAGTAAAAGCTATTTCTGGAGCTGCGCAAGTAAACAATTAGTATATATAATTGATTTTGTTAAATGAAATCTTTACCCTTAAATCACACATAACAGTCTGTATCTCGATAAAATTTAAATTAGCAACACGGAAGTGTATATTGGTCTGATTCTGCACTTAATGACTTGACCTCCTTGGATCCATCTGAAACTTTAGTCTCGCAATTGACTACCTCATTTGCGATACCAAATTCTCCAACGTGGCAAGATTCAAGCACTTCTGTGCAATGTAAAAATTTAGAAAAATTAATTGGTGGTCCAGAAGTGTTGGCGAATATAACAGGATCAAGAGGATTCGAAAGATTTACCGGAAATCACATTGCCAAGGCAAGACATACACGTATTTGCACTGTTTTGTCATACTTTACTTAATAATATTTTCATATGAATAGTAGATTTGTCAAGAATCACCGGCTTTATATTATAAAACATCAAGGATATCATTGATTAGTTCGTTTTTGGTCTCAATATTTTTTGGTTATTACGCACCCATCGATGTTTCTGATGGTTCGGGAATGAATCTACTCGACATTCGCACAAAAACTTGGGATGATAGATTGTTAGATATGTGTGTTAATAGTGGAACTATTATTCGCAGTGACGAGGATAATATAAAAAATCGGGAAGAATTAAAATTAAAGCTTGGAGAACCTTTAATTGACGGGCTGATGCTTTTAGGAAATATCAGCGAATATTTTGTTAATCGATACGGATTTGACAGAGGTAAAATAAAAAAAGAGGGGCCATTCAGCGATGAATAATATTAATGTTCTGGATTATCTGATGTTGCTTTACCTTAGGTTGTAAAATTAATTCATTCACAGGTGATAACCCCGCCACCATCTTATCCTTTTATCTGCAACCCGAAGACGTGGTAATTTCATTAGGAACTTCAGACACAGTACTTATATACACAGCCACGGCATCACCTACCTTGGAATCTCATACTTTATGTCATCCCACTGATCCGGATGCTTTCATTTCTATGCTGTGTTACAAGAATGGGAGTCTAACCAGAGAATATGTGAGAAATATGTATTGTCCGAATTCTGGTGGAAATGATGATGGTTGGTTGGAATTTAACAAACACCTTTCCACCACGTTACCAGATCCGGCGAAAATTGGGTTCTATTTTTTACATCCAGAAATAATTCCATTTGCTAAAGGAATTTACAGATTCTTCAATAAAGAATTAATATCCGAATTTGTGGATTCACCTGAATATAACATTAGAGCTATAATTGAATCTCAGTTCATGTCTATGAAGTTAAGGGTCGATCAATTAGCCAAAGGCAATAGCGAAAGTTCACAGGATAACGATGGAGAAAAGAACAAGGGCCATACTAAAAGAATCATGGTTGTCGGGGGCGCAAGTAAAAATGATGAAATATTACAAGTGTTGGCGGATGTGTTTGGTGTTTGTGTATGGAGATGTAATGGTGGAGGTTCGGCGTCTTTTGGTGCAGCCATCAAAGCTAGAATGTCATTTTTGAGAGCAAATAAATCGTCTAAAGACATTGGGGAGGATAGAAGGGGGATGAGTGCATATGAGAATGGTTGTGAACTCGTCGCTAAGCCAAGAAGAGATTACCATGCAGTATATCAAAACATGATGAAAGATTACAGAGAGTTGGAAAAATTTATCGTTGAGAAACAAAAAATTATCAATGAATAACGAAAGTGATACTTTGATATTCAATTTTCTATCTATTGCAACCATTCCTGGAGCTTTATTGTATTCATTATGTAATAAACATTTTATAGAATTCATGAAGTTTCATTCAAATTTTACATAGATTCTTGAAAAAAAAAAAAAAAAAAAAAAAAAAATGGCGTTTTTCATAGAGTTTTTTGACCTTTAGTCATTTGTGGTTGTTTTTACGCGGGTTTCCCCTAAAGCACATGCATAAACATGCATAAAATAATTGACTTGATTTATGGGAAAAAAAAAAATGAAAATGAAAATGAAAAGGTGGTTCTTTGAAAACAAGGGAGATTGTTCTTTTAGGTAAAAAAATATAGCTCTTAAAAATTTAAGGTTTAAAAATTAGCCATTATGAATCAGTATTACAAAACTATTTAAGAATAATAAAACTCGGAATTATTGAAATTCTATTATTAAATAATTGTCATATTTTATAATACAAGGAAACCGATGCATCGGTAACCCTTTGTGCTTTATTAGAACTTAACCAATAATTTAGTTACATTTAAAGCAGATCATCAAGAAAATCCATCAACAGGTTTGCGGCTTCCTCGTTTCCTTTATTCTTAGCCAAAGTTAACCAGCGAATGCCTTCGATAATATCCTTTTCGATCCCATTCCCTCGCAAGTATCGTGCACCAACTGCTCGTTGACTGATTATATTTTCGTTTTTAGCACCTTTAAGGTACCATTCAAATGCTTTTTTATCATTCTGAGATGTTCCAGAACCCGTTCCATAACAAAAACCGAGGTCGCACTGTGCGCCATCATAGCCACCCTCGGCAGATTTCAAGTACCATTCAAACGCGGTCTCCTCGTCTTTCTCAATTCCAGTCCCATAATAAAAGGAATCGCCAACAAAATATTTTGCAACAATATTTCCAGCCAAGGCGGAATTTAATCGCCATCGAAATGCTTTAACTTTATCTTCTTTTGTCCCTTCGCCTTCCTGGTAGCAATATCCTAAATTACATTGCGCAATAAGATTGCCTTTTTCTGCAGATTTTAAATATAACTCGAAAGATTTTGATTCATTCTTTTCTACACCATAACCGTTTGCATAGCAAACTCCAATAAAGTTTAGTGCTCTGATTGATCCTTCCTCAGAGAATTTAAGCATAATTTGGAATGCCTTTTTCTCATCTTGTGCCACGCCTTTTCCTTCTAAATAGAAGTTGGCAAGGCAGATTTTCCCAATAGCCCTGTTACTCTCAGACAATGATGAAAATGTAGAAATCTCATCTCCATCGGTTACCGTGCTTGCGGCTTTCGAATAATATTCGAAGGCCGTTTGATATTCCACAACTGTGCCAATCCCATGTTCATGAAAAAATCCTAACATGCTTGTGAAATGTATTCGGCATTGATGACTAATTAAATAATGTAATATTTTTGTAGGATTCTGTGGAAGATCATTGATATACTTTCTAACCAATACTGGGGATATATATTTGTGCTGTTTTTCATATGTGTCTGAAAAGAAATAAAACAAGTCCTTTATTAACTTATCTTTTTTCGAAGAAGGATCAATGCAAGCTGCATTGATTTTAATTGGTTCATAGGATTTTCTAAAAAGGATAAAGTGAAAAAAAGATCAGTTGTTTTACAAAAATATCTCAATAGAAAATGCAGAGAGGATTGAATTTAACTTACAAATTTGATTTCTTTGTATTTTTTGTTATTTCACAGCATAAATTTATAATTTCTGGTTCATTTAACGTATCGGAAAAATTGATCTCATCAAGACCATTAAAAATTTGAACAATGCTTGGTCGTTTATTTTCATCATTGCACCAACAATCTTATTATTAAGTCATGATTGATTGACTGTTAATGACATGTAAAAAATGAATGTCCAAATCGATTCTTATGTTTTACCTGTATAAATCTCCACATATTTACGAGGTGTTTGTGGTATGGAAACTTGATCCTTATTTGATAAACTGGTTTCTAACAACTTTTCAAACTCAAAAGGTGAAATGCACCCAGAAATCTCTAACAAAATGATTCCTAGATTGTAAATGTCCGAACTTCTCTCATAACCAATGATATTAAGAATTTTCGACTGGTGCGGATCGATATTTTTGTTTGAATCAAATGTTTTTGGAAATAAATTGAATGGTTCGTATATTCGACTGCTCTTTTCAAAATTACTTAATTTAATAATTCCATTGTGAACAAGAATATTTTCCGAACACTAATCAGTAAAAATTGTTACTATTATTACCACCATCATTGTTTTAATCGTTAAATTAATAATAATAATTCTTATAGAATTTCAAATTTTTGATTACCAAGTTTCCATGCGCAATTCCATTTAAGTGTAAACACATTAACACTCCCGTGACCTGTTTTGCAAGATATAATTTAATGTTCCAAGTCAATTTTTGGGGTTTCACTTTTAAATATTCAAAAAGTGTTCCGCTATTTGCGTATTCAAATATTTGCAAAAATGTGTTGGTATCTTCTGGGGAGAAAACGATCATAAGTCAGCCCAAATAGATGGCATTCAATGAAAAAGACCTTAATTTACCTTGTATAGTAACACCATAAAATCTCAAGATGTTATCGTGGATTTCTAGTTTTTGATGTTTTTTAATCTTTAAACCACAAGATGTTAGAAAATACTTGTAAAACAAATAAAGACTTTGACATTCGCACACGAGGAATGAAATGAGCAGTGCACAAACCCACTTTATTTATCATATCTTGCACTGTAAACTCGGCGGTTATAGGAATAGGCTTGAGGAAAACATTTTTTTTAACTTCCTTTAAAGTGGCGATATAGGCATTTTTATTTTCAATAGGCTTTATATGTTCAAGCTGGTGACGGTGATAAAATAGCGTACTCTCTTTCCGAAAGATTTCATCAGCTATTAGGTTATTTATCCAAGGTCCCCATTCGCTCTTAATTTCGCGATCATTTCTTAGTTCGATGGCCATAAACTTTACGTTGAAATTTGATGTGCAAAAAGTAAGTTGCACGTACTACTAAAAAAGGTCATTCCAAATACGGGCCGGGATCGCCAGCAGTCCAGACAATACAAAGGATGTTCAAATTTCCGTACATTGCTGAACGAAAATCTTTGAAAATTTTTTCTGTCTCTAACATTACAAAACCAATCGATAAATTCCAAAACTTTTTAAATTTGGAATGATTGTATGCAAAAAAAAAAACCATCATTAAGAAAAAATAAAATCATATTATTCGCTTTAAAAAAAATTATGCTATATACAGTATACGCACACTGTATATTTATTTATTTGTTTAATTTATAATCCGATTACTATCTAATAAAATATTAAATATAATTTGTTATTTTATAAAAATTTTTGTATAAAAATTTTATTCTTTAATACTATAATTCATAGATTATTATTTTTTCAAAAAATCTATCATTAAGTATCAGATATAAGCTTTATTAAAAATTAAAGTAATTTGAATAAATAATCAAAATCTTTTTTAATGCAGTATATATTGACCATCTTATATATAATATGAATCAAAATTATTGAAAAAAGTTTATTATTGATAAACTTGATAACCATTGAATTAATTAAGATGGTAAGTTTTCATTTTAAAGGCAAGAGTCAATAATTTATTATATAAAATTTCAATAGTTTATTTGATTATCTTTTTTCATATTATCTCTCTACAATAATTTTTTATTGATTTAATCAAATTATTTAAGATATTATCTGAACTTAAATCTAATTTTTTATTTATCTATAATTTCAATTCACCCAAATTTTATGATATTCCTTTTCACATTTGTTTTTACTAGATTCTATGAGTTTTTTATTGAATTCATATTTGAGTTATTGGATAATTAATTGAGAACTCAAATGTGTTTTCATTAAAATATAATTTACAAAATAACTTGTATATTTCAGGTATTATTATACTAGAACTGAAAATTTTTTTTCATTATAACCTTAATATCAATTATATTTTTTTTCTAAGATACTAATATAAACATCAATTATTATTTTTATATCAAAATAATAAAATTGATCTTGCTCTTCTTGCAAAATCCAACTTATACAAAGATTTTACTCTTATCTTTAAGAATTTGACAGATTGGTTATATATTTTTATACTATTAATTAACTATATTCCAGAAAAACTGAAAAATAGTTTTGTTCAAAAAATATATTTATTTAATTGTTATTTTTATATTCTTTTACACATTTTAATTTTTTTTTTACTGAAAAATAAGTATTAATACTTCTTTAGAAATATTATTTCTATAATCAAGAAAATTTAAATATTACAAAATAGTTGACAGAATAATTATTTCACTTGATTTTATTATCAAAGTCTAGATAAAAATAGAAAATTCTTTTTTATATGATACTCAATTTTTTATTTATTATTATTATTATTTTTTTTTCTGACGGGCTCATGCCTAACTTTATTGAATCCCAAATTACAAGTTTACATTGCGCAAAGTGTGAATACATAGATATATATTCAGGAAAGATAAAAATAACGATAAGCTATAGTTATTCTAAAGTTACTTCAAGGCTTATTACCCT